AAAAAGCTTGGCACTGATACATGGTATTATGCCAAAAGATGCTTCCTATCCTTGCTAGAGAACATGTCAAAGCACACAATCATGCTGAGGGACAGTGTCATTCAAGAATGCATCCAGTTTCTAGAGCACTGTGAGCTTTATGGTAGAAACATCCCTGCTATTATAGAACAGCCCTTGGAGGAAGAAAAAATGCACACTGGGAAGAATACAGTCACATATGAGTCAAGAAAATTAAGGGCTCTGATTTACGAGATAATTGGATGGAATGTGTAATTATGGCTGGCAATGATTTTTATCATGTTGACTTTATATGTAAATTATCAGTTTTTCCTGTATCTAGCTTTTGCCATTTGTATTTGCTACTTGTAAGACTTTGTAAACTTAAGTGTAACAAAAGAACTATTAGATATAACCTGTACTTCTAGATCCTGCCAAATGAGATTGTGGAAGAACCCAGGCCCTAGAAGGTACTTTGAAAATTTCAAAACTGAGAAAGATATTGTGTCTATCATGTTTCCTCCAATTCTTTTGGTTTTGATGTATCTTGGGCAACCTTTGTTATTGTGTTATCCAGGGACCACATACTAAGTTCAGAACTTAGTAGTCCATAATGTCTTCTTGTAATCACTCCAAGGATTGTGTTTTTTCTTTGCACAACTCCCATGATTTTATAGAGAATTTAGAGTGTTTGACAGTTTTCCAATATAGATATAATTTTTGTCCAGATTAAATTTCTTAGGTAATAAATGGGTTTTTGATAGTTTTCAAGAGTCAGTAGATTCACTTAATAAACTACAACACTAAGAAATACAAAATAAATAATGAGAAAAGAAAAGAAAGCCTATGTGGTGCTTAGCTCCATGCGTTAGTGATTTGAATTTACGATCCAGTCATTCTGTTGCTGTTTCTCAAGTACTTTATTTTCATTTATCTCTCACAGTAACCAGAGGTAACCAGAGAACTCAGGGTTTTTTTTTAATTTTGTTTTTAATTCTCTCATACAACACATGCTAAATGCCATTTTCCCTCTCCACTCCTCCCAGTTTTTCCCACAACCTCCCCTCTCTGTAGTGAGAATTCTGGAATTTTGGTTTCTTTTAAAAACCACAGCAATATTCTAAGAATGTGTTTTTATTTTAATCCCAGGTGTGGGATATGGGACGGCTTCACAGCAGCTGACTAGGATTCGCCTCATGCTCTAACTAGATGCAGATAGTTTCTGTGATCGTGTCATATTTGGAATTCTGGGAACTTTTCAGAGCGTATATAAATGCTAGGGCACCGGTAGGTGGTGTTGGTGGTTGCTCAGGGGGAGTTATGTGCCGTTCGTTAGTAGTAATGCTCAAAGAAGAAACAAGAAAAAAAGAAATCAGATTCAGAGATCTCTTTCTCCTCTCTATCCCTCTTTCCTATCTAGTGTCAAAGGGTGAAATCTGGGAGATAAAGGCTGGGAAAAGAAAAGCCCACAATAGTAGCAAAAGCAAGCTGTACTTCTTCTCCAGATCCACTCCTCCTCCTCTTCCCTTAAGAAAAGAACAGACTTTCCAGGGATATCAACCAACACTGCATAACAAGATCATTCACAAGTTCACTTATCAGGCCTGAGTGAGGCAACCAAGTAGGAGGAAAAGAGTCCCAAGAGCCATCGAAATAGAGATGACCCCACCCCCCACCGTTACAAGTTTCACAAAAACACCAAGCTAACAACTGTGACATATTTACAGAGGACTTAGCACAGACCCATGCAGGCTCTGTAATCGCTGCTTCAGTGTCTGTGAGCCCCAATGAGCTCTGCTTAGTAGATTCTTTAGACCATGAAGAACTTGCTTATTAACCTTTGGCTGTACAATTTTGGGTATGCTGTGGTTTCCTTGTTTTATGGATCTGGGTACAGAAAATTTTACTTCATTGTTACTACCCTGTCCAAAAAAACCCCATTCCCGTGACTGATGAAAAACTCCATCAGTCCCGGAATGTAAACTGATATATTCATTATTTGTTTCAATCCATGATTCCCAGTAGTTTTACTGGCTTCCCACTGAGATTTCTGCTTATTCTAATCAACTTATCTTATTTTCTGAATCCTACAAAAATAAAACACCCTGTTTCTCAGTCCCTTGTTCCTGTTTCTCCATAAATGTAACCCCAATCTGACCTGGTTTAGAAAAATTCTTATCAGGTTAAACCACATATACTTTTTGATTTTGAATTTCTTACCTACATATTCAACAGTTTCTTAGGTTCAACTGTCTACTGGCAGACAGAAAGCCCCTGCCGTAATGTGAAGATGATTTTTCCCCTTTAGGGATAGTTTAGTCGCACAGCTATGGCATGTAGGTTCAGCACAATGTCTGAGCAGAGTGAACTCCTGGGTGCTCAAATTCTGTTAGGGAAGAAACTCTGACTCACTGTGTAGTGTAATGCTTTGGGATGAAGGCATCTGTAATAATGAACTGAGCTGCTATCATTTGCCAGTGTTAGTTTGATCCCACAGGGGAGGAGAATCAGTGTTTAGTAGTCTCTAAAAAAATGTACCCCACAGCACACTGTATATCTCACAAACCTTGGCCGATTCTGCTGGGGCAAGTCATTCTGGTCCCTCTTAATTTCCACATTCCCCTTAAGAACTGGGAAGTTAGTGAGCTGCAATCTTATTTTCAACAATCATCATTAAATTTTTCCCTATTTCCTCTCAACTTCTTTTCTTAAAAAAAAAAGTTTAAAGTAATGTTAATCACTAAAAAGCAAATGTTCTCCAGATTCCCTTTTGCAAATAGGCCAGCCTTTATTTGGCCAGTTTATTTATCCAGGTGCTGTTTGTGGTTTGCATGTATGAGTGACTTAATTTTTAGAACATAAAAAGTTTTTCAGAGAAGCTTTTTAGCCCTTGCAGTTGAGCAGTTTGGATTTCCTGGTTAGTCATGTAGTCTGGCAATTCTGCCTGCTCTACCTCTGAGTGAAGGGATGAAGCTCAATGAAGGCAATTGTCTTCTTCTTTACCCAGGCTCTCCAGAGACGCTAATGACAACAAATTCTCAGGAGCCTGAAGATGAGGCCTGGAGAAGCTTGGGGAGAGTGGCATTCTTCATCTTTCTGCAATATTTACTGTTTTAGTTTTAGCATATTTATTCAAAGACTTTTTGCATTTATTTATTGAGTTCAAGTGTGCATGTGCCCTGGTGCTTGGGTGGTGCTGAGAAACTTGCCTGTCTTAATTCTAGAATGACTTTACAATGCCCAGATCCTCTCCTCACGGTTTGACTGACAGTCTCCACAGCTGGCACAAAACACTGTTCCATGCTCCTTGCGCTTACAGTTAGTGCTAACACTTGACAAAGGGGAACGACTGCCCTATATTTCTAAACCTTTACTGCTTTAAGACTTCTTTGTAATACTGACATAGTCTATTTTAAAGGGCTCGGATATAAAATCCATGATAATAGCCCTGGGTGCCTTGTATATGCCTTGTATATGAGGGTTGTGAGTTGGATGTTTTCTACGGTTACCACTGCTGTGATAAACAGCACACCCAAAAGCAATCTCGGGAGGAAAGGGTTTATCAGCTTACAGTTCCATGTAACAGTCCATCACTGAGGGTAGTCAGGGCAGAAACCTGGAAGTAGGAGCTGATGCAGACTATAGAAGAATGTTGCTTACTGTCTTGCTTTTCCATGGCTCATTTGGCCTGCTTTCTTATGGTAAGTACCCAGGACCACCAGCCTAGGGGTGGAAATATCCATAAACTGAACCCTCCCACATCAATCAACTTAAACAATGCACCACAGTTCTGCCCACAGGCCAATCAGGTGGGAGCACTGTCACAATTAAGGTTTCCTCTTCCCAGATGACTCTAGCTTCTGTCCTCACAAGTCTGTACCCATTTAATGTTTTTAGTCTCAGGCATTGAGACCTAAATACATGTCCCCCTGAGTAGCACCAGTGTCTGCTCCTCTACTCACTAGTAAGTGCATTGTTAATGGGTGCTGCCTTATCAGCTAAATAATAGGTGGCCTTTTAAGTTTTGTCCACATCTAAGACTTTTTTTTAGTGTGTGCGATCACATGAATGTGCACATGTTCCATGTGTCTAGGTACATTTGTGTGTGTGCAGGTAATGCATGAAACTCCAAGGTTGATGTTGAGTCTTCTTCAATTGCTTTACACCTTATTTTTCTCCATTTATTTACTTTGGGTATATGGGTATTTTATCTGCATGGATGCCTGTGTATCACCAGTATTTTGTGCCCATGGAGGGCCAGAAGAAGGCATCAGACCCCCTGGAACTGGAGTTGAAGACAGTTGTGAGTCCCATGTAGGTGCTAGGAATCAAACCTAGGTCCACTAGAAGAGCAACCAGTGCTGGTAACCACTGAAATATTCCTGAGAGAGGATGCTATTGGCAAGGTTTAAGTGAAATCACAAAGAAATAAAAAGTTCTGTAAACAATGATTGGTTTTAGGAATGATTTATTTGTTCCCAGCACATCTTTAAAAATTACACATGGGCATTTTTGTTTTAGAACAAGACTAAGAAAACCAGTGGGAAGAAATTCTGAACATACACTAAGAGCATGGTATCCAGACTTTGCATTGAGCCCTTGTGAAACAAATGGTATGGCTCAGTGAACTTGACAGGCTGTACTAGAACCTCTCAGGGATGCCACCTCCCACCACATATCCACTTTTAGACTGTAAGTGTTAAGGGAAGAATTGTTTCCTATTCACTAGTTACAACAGTATAATAGCTTACATACACATTTTTCCCACATGTAATTCCCAAAAGACTACTACAGTACCGGCAGAACATATACTGCCATGGAGGAAGACTCAGGATAAGGTAATATTCAAGTCAAGATGTATCAGAGCAAAGTATTTCACAGGCCTAGTAAAAAACAAACAAACAAACAAACAAAAGAACAAAGCTGTATAGAACACACCTACTTCTCACTGGATTTGTTGCTGTCCAGGAATAAAATGCTCATTATTCTGAAGGCACAATCACACACAAAAAAGACGGACACATAGCATAAGGACTAGAAACCCTGTCTCCAGGCTTTACTCCTTAGGGAGCTGAGTGAGCAAAGCCAAAAGCATATAGTGGGTGTCTCAGGACTTGACAAGTATCTGCACTTGCTAACCCACATCTCAGGACTACTGGGTTGGAACAGTAGAAATGAAAAGTAGACACATAACCAAGACTGATTAGATGTTCGAGTCTAATCAATGCTTCAGCATGTAACTGAACACAGATAACCTAAGCCAACACTGAACAGTGTTTCTGCATACAGTTACCAAATTCTGCTGTGTCTTGAAGAGGAAGAATCTTGAGTTATGAAACCATCTGTCTTTACAGATGTGCCTTCTCTCATTTTAAATTGTTTCATGGAAAAAGAGAAAAATCCCAACAAGGCACTGTGAACTTTTAGAGCATGGTGTTTAAGTCATCACTCAATAAATCACTATTTATTGAAACTACACTGATACAGGATTCCAGGACCTCTGTGTACAGTCAAGGGCATAGAGGTGTTTCACAGGACGAATGCTGTGCTGCTGAGGAACAGTACAAACGTCGGCTGTTTTCCATATGGCATAGGTGACCGAGCAATCTACGCTCAAGATTTCTTTCTCCTATTTCCTTGCTCTCAGGAAGTAAACCTCTAGTATCTAAAAAAGCATTTCATCAAATGTATTATTTTATCTTTAAAAATAAAACAGTATTCTTTGGGGGAGGCAGTCTTTTCATACTCACAGAACTAGGCGTAATTCTGTGAGGGTTCTTTGGCTCAGGTGTGGTACCCACCTGTGAGCTTTCCTCCCTCCATAAGGGGCCGACTGTTCACTGGGATGCTCCAGGTTTGAAAGAGAATGCTTCAGAATCACAGACTCAACACCACCTAGGAGTTTAGTCTTGATTTAAAAATAACCAGAGACTGATGCAACCTAGCTTATGCTATGTTCAGCTGTGAAGCCAAAGGGATTTAGTCATAGTTAGGTTGTCTAGATAATGCTACATTAGCAGACTTATAAAAAATTATTTTCTACTTTCAAATCTGTGGAAATACAGAGTAAAAAAGTAAAGTTGAAAACATATGTATACAGAAGAAAAACAGCTCCACACTTCCTTTGATTTAAAAAAAATCATAGGCTCATGTCCATTTTATTAATAATGTTTCTATAATCTCTTGACATTATACAAGCAGTTTTTACAGTTAAGTTTCACACTGAAGACGAACACTATTTGGCTTAAGGAACAGAAAGCTGGGTTACATCCTTCATGTCAGACACATACTTCAACAGTTTAAGAAAACCTTTTATACTTTCAGGACTTTCTTCATTAACAGGAAATTAGTAAGAATTAAATGAATCTGTAGGCAGATGGCTCAGAATGGAACATGAAGCCCTGAGCCAAGCCAAGCCAAGCCTCCACAACTGACAAAGGCAGAAAGCTCTTTAGTCCTACTCTGCACCTGCTGTGCTCCCTGCTTTTCTCCTGTTAAAAGCTGAGCCTCTGTTAAAATCAAAATCACTTAAGATTAAGTGGCAGAAAAAAAAAACCTCAAAATTACTAAAACTATTGACCCCGTGTTTCATGCTCCTCACACTGGAGATACACCTTCCACAGACAGCATCCGAGGCCGCCTCAAGTGTGACTGCATGGTGTGAGGAAACCCCTATGCATCACTGTGTTCTGACAGTGCTACCAGAGCTGGCCCCATTCGGAGCAAGACACTTCAGGTTAGGACGTCAGAGTTCCTCTGATTAGTTACACTTAGAAGCTGCTGGTATGAAAGAGTGTGACAAAGAACTGTCAAATATGCAAACTAGGACTGTAACAGTATTCTGGAAGGGGAAAAGGGAGGGTTCTTATATGTGTTTATATCTGATATAATATACACACCAATGGAAGCTTGTTTTTTATTGAGTTTTTGTTTTCCAAAATACACCAACAACACAAATATGCATACTAGAAGGCTTCCAGATTCATAAATAACCTCAGGTCAATAATCCTATTATATGTAAGCATTTTGAGTAACAACCTACCATTTCTAAAAAGAGCATAGTTTAATCCTTTATTCTTTGATAAAATGCTGGATACAAGAAATGTGGTCTCCACACTTCAGCTAACTGAGAGGCTCAAGGACAACAGCATAAGACTCAATTCACTTACGCAGCTCTACACATCGCACCACACACGGGCGCAGCAGCTTCTCCACGGTCGACACAGCCTGTCTGTCTGTGGAGTCTTTAGTATCTGACTCCATTTCTCATTAGCAGCAAGTTCCCATTCCTACTGAAAGCCCAACCTGCATGTGACGTCATCATATTTAAGCAAAATATTACACAAATGACTAACTTAAGAAGGGCAAGTCAGTGTGATGGGCTTCTGATATCAAACAGGCTACATCTTTTAAAGAAACTAATCTATGAGTTAAGATGCTTGAGATAACAATATTTTCCTGGGCTTAGCTTCATGAAGCCATGTGCAGACACTTCTGAAAGAAGAGACAAGGTTTAAGTGCTTTGTGCATATTCATGAACTCAGGTTCCTCCGCAGACACAGTCTACATTGAGGCACCTCCCAGAAGTGGGTGGGAAGGCTTCCTGATTTACAGTCAGAGTGAAATACTACCAATGAACATTTTTGTGTTCCAAAATGATCCCTGTAGAAATTATTTAAAATACAAAATGTAGTAACTGTTACAGAAGCAAGGTTGGTGAGGCCTCCATACACAGAAAAGGGAAGCAAAGACATAAACTGCCAACTGCCATAAAGCTCATATAGTACAGGGAACCAACCCAGCAACTTCAGGTGTTAGTCACAATTACAGTACAGACTGCTGAAAATCTGAACTCCTTGAGAAAAACGTTTTAACAATCACATGCAAGGAACTGGACCTGCTAATGAAATTATTAAAGTAACTACTTGGAAATCTGTAGACACTTCCAGTGAGATGTTGGAATCTTACTAAATGTTACACTCCAATTACCAACTAGAGAATCACCTTCGTGACGATGCATTTTGTAAAGAATCTAATAACTCTAGAGGCAATTTCCTTGAGTGTCTGGCTATTTCAAACCATCAAAGTTTTTAATCAAAGATCTGATGTAAATTTTATAATTAAAAATAAATCATCAATAAAAAGGCAGCTTCCAAAAAATAAATATTGAGTTTTTGTTGTTAACCTAATACTTAATATTGATTTTCCTACAGATTTAAATTTGTTAGTTTGAGGCCAATTATAATAGTTAAAAATTATTTACCATTTTGAAGTCTTAAAAATATTTTGTCAATTTTAAATTTTCACTGTTCTGTTTAAGGCTATTTAAGATATAAAAGGTATCAAACTGCCCCGACATATCTGGAGCTGTTGCTACATAGACAGACAGTGTGTCCTTTTAAAGGATCGTCTGTATTTTGACTTACATTATCTGATTAAATATTAATTTTAAAAAATTATCAAAAGTTAGGTATTGCATTAAGAAAAGAACCCATTTCAAAATGTGAATCAGGAACCTCAACAGACAGTGATTTAAAGCAATTGTTCCACTTATTTCAATATCCAGTTTTGAATGTAAAAATGTCTGCTAAATATGATTAATGTTCTCCTTTTTATTTAAGAAATAGGATATTTCAAACTTGTGATTATGGCATATGCAGTAATACATTTTTTTAAAATTTAGGTTAAACCAGTAATTCAAAAAGCACTAAACTATTATTAAGAATTAAACTGAAACTATTTTTCCATGAAAATTTATCAGGCTTGTGGCTAATTAGAAAAAAAGATTGTTGTCATTGAAATTATTGAGGCTTTCAAATCCAAGAGTCAACTAATGACTATTTCTTTAGCCAAATATAATTCTTTAAACTGGAGACAGCAGGTTCAGGAGCCTTTCTTTTGTTCATGCTGCAGCTGCTTGTGCAGCTAACAAGCATGGGACAGAAGAAACCTGAGGGCTGGAGGATGGACAATGGCCTTCACTTCATGGTACAACCTGCCCTTCACGTGTAATAAGTCAGCTGTTCTTACAAAGCACATTATGAATGATCCAGGACACAGCTATAGGTGACACGTCAGTGATACAAATACAGCTCACACCCTCCTAGAAACAGACACGGAGGACAAAAATGTGCCTGCTCACAGAGTAATTTATATGTTGGCAATTTAAGTTTGTAACATGTATGCACTTCAAGCAAAGCTTAGGCTGAGCACCTTATACAGATGAAGGCATGCTAGTAACAGACTACCAGCTCTGTCGTGAATGTCCTCCCCAATGACCTACTCACAGCAAAGTATGCTTTTAACAACATAAACAAATATCTCTCACCAGCAGAATCTTTGCTAGATTATCTGCTGTAGAGAAATGTTTAAGAAAGGACAAGACAGAAGAGAGGCTAGACGAGTAACGGATGACACCATCTGCCTCAGCTCACCTAGAGGAGGAGCATGTAAAACAGCTGGCAGCATACACCTCAGATAATGGGCAGCCTTGTGCTGCCTAAAATCTGAAATGACAACCAGTTAGTTGGCTATAAACTGGTACACCTACAATGAGACCCAGGAACGCCATCTGTCAATCTATAGATATAGAAACAAAGCATAGAACAAAAACCAACTCATTTTAAACCAACAAACAAATGTAACTGAAATACAGTCCCATGATATATTCGATTACTGGTATAACCATAGCTGATGACTTTTAAAAGGTAACATTTTTCATAATGATATTAATGGAGTTATAAAAGGTTTCTGTTTCCAAAGATGTTACTGGGGTCCACATATTCTTTGACAGACTTTAGCATTCCAAAGCCGACATCAGAGATGCTCTCCTTTAGCCACTGCTTTCGTAACTTGCCCACTGGAAAACAAAATAAAAGGCTTCAATACACACCTTGAATGCTGGAAACCAATCAATCTTGTAACCATGAGTGAGCAAACACTGTGTGATAAATGCTTTTATTCAAAAATGAGAAGTGTTTTGCTTTATTTGATTTATTGAGCCCACCAGACTATCAAGCTCATTAAGCCCAGTGCATTCCCAGGGGACGTCTTCACCCCACAGTGTCTCCTTCCTCTGTAAACTATGAAATGGAGACTGAAGGAAGTGTGGACTGAGATTACAGTCTATACAAACAATAAGATGAAAAGAATCATGCTTATCAAAAGACCCTAACCCTTGTCATAACTACTCAACAAGCCCAAATTTTGTAGAAAATGAATCTTACTGAAGAAAAGTATCATAGAAAAATGAATCTGTTTGGGTAGATTTAACAAAAATTACAGATCTTTAAAATGCTTTAACAAATACAATTAAAAGAAATGAGAAAATCTGCTCAAAGGATTCTGGGGGAAAAGACCTAGTTATGAATCTTTCCAATTAAAATTCTTTTCCAAGTGCTTTAAAATGAACCCACACACCCCAGGTAACAGACACACTCTTGGTATTGTTCTGTCAGATCCAAACTTTTTTGGTTTTTTGTTCTGTTTTTGACACACACAAAAGCAGGTGCCTAATCTGTTATAAATTGAACCTCTTCTTATGAACTGTTCATTTTATTTTTTTCCTTGCTTTAGGGCTTACACATTTGAGGCAATAAAGTATCACAATAATTAGCAGTGTTAATCATTTTTAAAGGCACTAAGTAAAAAACAACCTTTTCTACCTAAAACTTTTGTGAAGGGCAGATAAAAAAAATTCTGTCAACTTGCTTTGGCACTTGACTTTAACATGACAAAATGGGTGTCTTAATTTATTTTAGGGCTATTTTCAGTGAACATTTTTTGAACATATGTGTTATTACAAAATAACCAAATTCAAATGGCCACTTTGCACAAATGTTCATTAATGATCCAAAGTCATCAACAGAGACTTAATTGGCCAACAGAAATGGGAAGCCTTTCATTAAGCCTCCGGCCTGTCACTCTGAAGTGCACTCCCATTTGTCAGGCTGCAGCAATACATCACCGCACCTGCCTTTTGGAACCTTAAATACCATGTCAGCTCAGCTCAGAGAAGCTTTTAGGTCCAGTTTTCTGGGAAACCACTAAATCATCATCTAAATAACCAAATGACATGATACTTCAGAGAGCAAGGTATCTGTGGTTGGCATCAAAATATCAAAGCACGCTGTGCTGTTATAATAGTTTAGTAGGGGGCAAAAATCTGAAGTTCAGAATGGAAGTTTCTGTTTAAAATCTCTCTCTGCAAACAGATGCCACACGAGGACTCCTTGCACAGCCTCCACCTGAAGATTTCTAATAGGACCATTATCGCCTCAGCACTCTTCTACATCCTGAGCTGTTTCATCTGCAAATGAACTGACCTATTCAATTAGAATATCCTACACAAGTTGAGAGTCTGTGTTTCTAGATTTGCTCTGAGATAGACAGATAGATGGATAGATGGATAGATGGGTGGATGGAGCTACTCTGACTTGGGGAAGGTGCTACCCATACTGCAGCAGCTCAGGGGAGAGGGATGAAAAGCAGTCAGTGCCAGTCTCTACGGTTATCTGTAATATAGCTTCACTGAATGTATCCTGTGGTTATGGATGTAATTGTCCTGAAAAGACGGCAAACAACTGCTCCAACAAGATGGAGCACATTAGAAGCTCAGCAGGACACCCAACAGCTAGCTTGTCTGCCTGGTTTTACACCTCCAGTAATAATGCAATTCCACAAGGAACTGAACCATTGTCTGAGAAGTCACCCAACAGCCATTGCATACTTAATGAAGTCACTCACCAAGCACTAGAAAACAGAAGGTGCTTGGAGTGCATCATTAGTTCTGTCAGAAGGATAATTTACACATCTATCTTGTCAAATTTTCTATGGTTTATACTTTTACAATAATCAATCTAACATACATTTGATTAGTGAACTAGTAAGCAGCAGGGGAGAAGGCATAGCTGTGGCCCCTCATAAACATGTTTGATGAAAGAATTTAACCCATTGGTAGTACTAGTCTATGAACTGTTCTGATGCTGGTAACAGAAATAGCAATGTCAAGGCGTTGGAAATCTTGACTTGCCCAAGTAAAGAACTAGAAAGCTTTGGTTCTGCTTAGTTAAGCCAACTACCCTGAAGAGTCAGTGTGCTAGGAGGAAGCATGGTTTAAACATAAGCATCCATGCAACTTACTCATTAGACAGCAACCAGGAATAGTCCTGAGATCCTGAGAGCTCTGTATGGCAGCCTGATACACCAATAAATTAAAACAGCACAGGCCTAAGCCCAGAAGGAAGTAGCTTCCAAGCACAGACTTCTATTACAGAGCTGGACCACCTGTACTTCAGAAAATTCTTAGCTTGCTTGATATTCATCAATCAGAGGCCATACTTATCCATACACATGTGACAAACATGCTAAACATTTATATGGTAGTACCTTAAACATTTGCACAGCTTATTTTCTGAAAGGAAACAGTTCCCTTTATAGAGCACACCCTATCAGACGGGAAATATGGCTACAAACAGCAAAGATGACAACTTCTACACGCCTACCATGCAGCAGGCACTACAAAGAATCATATGGCATGAAAGCGTATGCATTCCACACGACTATCCTATGTGTGCTGTTGATGGCTACTTGAGAATCTAGTGGTCAGGGACATCTTTTCCTGTTTAAACTAAAGTCTGACTTCCAACTGTGTCTGTCTTCTAGAGTAGAGAAAATAGGAGGTTCCGGGATTTTTTTTTAAATCACTTACTTTACCCAGCTTTTTGGACAGATTCAAGGAATAATGTGTTTTGTACACTTGTCTGTAACCACAGTGCTGGACATGGGCAAAGACAGGCAGGCCCCCCTAGGGCTTGCTGGCTCGCTTGTCTAGCACAGAAGGCAAATTCTAGGTTCAGGAAGGTACAGAGTGAATGAGAATGATACTCAGTGTGATCCTCTGGACTCCACATGTACACTGGCATACGTGTACATATAGATAGTGTACACACACACACAAGGTTAATGATGAAGTGAGTGGTGTCATATGTTAAACAAAAATGTGGACATGATGGCTAGCCTGACCCACAAACATTATCTGAAACTCCTCTTTGTGGTTTAAGATTTAGCAGAAACTACTAAATAATTCTACCTTAAAAGGAATAAATCAGTCAGCTGAACACAGAGGTCTCTTTATCTAGATATATTTAACTTGCTAGTTACAGTTTGATTGTAAGGGCAGAAAGACTTCTACAGATTGATACAGAAGAACAAAACGGGAGGACAGGCCCATGGCGCAGTGGTAAAGTGCTTGCCTGGCACACCACAAGGGTCCATGTACTTCGTAGAAGGGAGGAGGACGCAGAGAATGAAGTGGACCAGAACGAGTAGAAGAGAACTGACTAGTATAAAATAGAGTACTTATTTAGAAGCTTACTAAAGCTGAAGAACAAAAGTAGAATTAGCAAAAGCCAAAAAAAAGAGCTATTATTTTCACAGCCACATCTTGAGAACTAAGGGTATAGGACATGTCCAGTATGCACAGGCCTGACCTTAATCCCCATCACCACAAAATGAGCAATAACAAATAACAAGCAAAACACCAAGTACCAATTCAGCCTTAATGTATAAATCATATCTTAAAAAGAAAATCATAGAGACTTGGTTTTATAGGAGGGCTCTAAGGAGTGACTTTTTAAACTTTCCCTCCCTCCCTCCCTTCCCTTAGTGTATATGTGTGTAGGTAGAGGCCAAAAGAGGATGCTGGGTGTCTTCCTCTATTCCTCCAAGGCCCTCTCAGCCTGAGTCTAGTGATCATCTTTTCTCAGCTACAGTAGCAGTCAGCAAGTCCTAGAGATCCTCCTGTCTCTGCCCTACTCAGAGCTGGGGTTACAGAAGTGTATCAGATACTCACTGTGTTATACGAGTGCTGGTATCTGAACTTTGATCCTCATGACTGTGCAGAAAGCATTCTCAACCACTAAGTCATCTCTCTCTAGCCCCCATAAGCTGCTTCTCTTTCCATTACTTAGTGTGATGAAACTCCTACTAGATGTATAGAACTAATGCTAGATGGAGACCCCGTATCTTGTCAGATGAAGCTTGGGCACTCTAGGCTCTGTTAGGTATTGATGAGAACAGAGAAAAACAACGGACAATCAGACTGAGCTACTCAATAGACTGATAATGTCTCTTAAAGGGAGATTCAACTTAGAAAGTGCTCTGACTTACATCTGCTTGTGCAGTAAAGTACACTGTGGTTGGTTGCTTCTGGCAAAACTGCATGCTTCATAAATGCCAGGCAACTGATCTCTACCTGAGAAGTGACAGCATCTAGCCCATAAGAGAATCTGAGATGGGACTATATGACTCTTCATGACTTTGTAAGAGAAACTGAATGCTCAAAACCATGAACACTTCAGTGTTATATGGGTTTTCTCTTATTGCTGACATTTAAAATGCCTATTTTCTTTCTGTGTTGTTTAGTGGGTTTTGTTGGTCTTCTGAGACCAGGTTTCAATCCTGTCATCATCCTGCCTCAGATGCCTGAGTACTAGAGTTATAACAATGTCCACCATCACAATACTTGACAGAAGTGCCAGTTTTTATTGTTGTTGTTTTCTCATGCTAAGGATTTGTCTACACAGTTTATCTAACAGCTCTGAATGTTTGAAGAGCTCTTTGGACACTACAAACTGAAAAGAAGTTTTAGTAATTAGAGCAAGTAAGAACTGGGCTCAATCTGTCTTTAGTACCACCATCAATTAGTTTGTTACACTTGAAATTTAAACCAGAGTAGAACTGAGTGTTTCTACACACAACAGAGACTCAAGCAAATGAACATGTTAAATAAGACTGATAAAACAAGAAAAGAATAGAAAATGCTCTTTTTTGAAGGCTAAGAACAATGTCTTATATTGT